GCATTAATTTAGCCCCTTTTAGGAAAATATCTCAGCTGTTATATTTTAACTTAATATGTAGACTTCTATAAATTTCTATATATCCCGACACTTTCGGCTATTATAGTAGCCATTATCAAGGATCTTGTGCTGTAACAAAATATGTAGTTTACATAGATAGAATGTATAAACATAAAAAATGTCTTAAAATAGATAAATAGATAGATAGATAGAGATGTGTGTGTGTGTGTGTGTGTGTGTGTGTGTGTGTGTGTGTGTGTGTGTGTGTGTGTAATGATTGAATACTCATTATTTTCCAAAAAAGGTCAGCAAGTTGAGGCCGTTCTCATTGTTGATATCACTGAGTCTTCACTTTTGGTTATATATTATTAATGCTTTCATTATTTTTTTGCCCTTTTTAATGTCTTTTTAGGTTCGTATTTTCTAGGAGTATGTTGCGCACGGAACTTGTAGGTCTCTGCGTGTAATTAAATGGGTCTTAAATGATCAGTAGATAGAGAGATTTAAGAACAAAAAAATAAAAAATAAAAGGCGAACAGTCAATAATATCAACTATGAACACGACCAGAACGTGCTGATCGTTTACTATAGATAAGCATATGGCATAAGGATATATATATTTTTTATATATCAAGAAGAGTTTTGGAGGAAAGGTGTATAACAAAGGGCAAACGTTTTCGCATCAGGCGTTTCGTCCCTTAGGACTTCATCGGATTAGGTTCGTTTAAGTTGATGTGACTACACATAAAAATGAATGAGAGACGCTTGGAATTTTAAATTTAAAAATTTTTTCTAAATTTAAAATTCCCAGCGTCTCCTGTTTGTACGTATGTGTGAATCCAATACTATGAAATCCTAATGGATGAAACGCATCACACGAGAACATTTTATCACTTTGTCATACAGCTTTCCTCCAGATACATATATATATATATATAAAGCTCTACATATCCAGTTAAAAATCATCCTTGATAATGGCTAATATAATAGCCGAAAGCACTGGGATATACAGAATATTTGTAAAATTTTTACACACTTTATGTCCAGGAATGAAAACCCTTTAGCATCTGTCTATATTTCTGAGATAAATTATTTTAACTATTTACATAAAGAGCTACCTTGGTTCTCGAACGTCTTACATGTCAAAGAAATTAGTTTTTGAACAGAAATTTTGAGATGAATATGCCCCCGTTATCGAACAAAATTTCGGTTCTCGAACAACATTGGCGAACCGCGTTAACGCGAATGGAATCATTTCTAAGTCGACCGCCATTTTGCATACATTCGTGTGTTGTGCCGTGCTTTTCTTTTCGAATTTTATTATACTGTGACTTTTTTCTCTATATTAATTCCTATTGGAAAAATAGTTTCGGTTAACGAACATTTCGGGTTACGAACGAATTCGTGAACCTAGGTTCGACTGTATTTACATTATTCGGACTGTTGTTATCATCCTTATTGTCACATTCACGACGTTTCAGTCCTTGTACGCTTTGGCTTTCTTCGGGTGATAAACGTTGGAATTTCGAACCGAAATTTTTATTTCGTTCATTGGGGTAGATTGTTGTAGTTCTACGTGACATGACTTTTCCAGATATTTCAGTTTCGGTTAATTACTTTTAGTAATTCAACTCTTCGAGTTTTTGTTCACCTCTGCTGCGGAAAAGTATTCAACTCACAACACTTCGGGTAAAATCACTTGGTTACTTCGACCGAGGTCAAGAAAACACTTAGACGTACACAAGATAAATTGAATAAAAAGCAGTAGCTTGCCAGTGGTTTTAATTAAACTTCATTTATCATTTATTAAACTTATACTTTGAGAAACCTTTCAACGAAAGCTAAAAATTTGTACTGCAGTAATCAAGATTAAAGGAGGATTTTTTGACGAGAGCAAAATTTAATCATGAAATTCTTTCTTCTTTTTGTCATAATAAAATTTCTAATAAAATATCATGTCTCAGTTTTAACCATGTATAATAATTTTCTCTTATTTAAAGTGCAAAACAACTACTTTTGAAGTCATTTTTAAAAAATACCAAGAATCTCCTCAAACTTTTGAACACTAGTGTATATATATATATATATATATATATATATATATATATATATATATATATATATATATATATTATGTAGTGTTACATTAGAACATGTGCATGTTCTAATGTAAAACTGCATAATAAATTAATATATACAGCTCTACTTTGATATTGAGCTATGTTCTAAATTAATGTTTTGAACACTTAAATATTACTCTTTTTATTTTTATATATATATATATATATATATATATATATATATATATATATATATATATAATAATATATGTGTGTGTGTGTATGTATGTATGCATCTTTGTGTGTGTGTTTAATGTACTGAGGAATAGCAAAAAATAAAAATTAAAATATTTTTAGCTTACTCAAGATTAAACGTGAAAGTAATACATTATATCAAATTCTGATGACCACTAGACCACTGATCAATACCTGCATGAGTTGCGAATATCAAAATTACTCACACACTATATTAATATACTCAATCAGACTTGGGCCTTATCGAATCATCTTTCATACGTAAGATGGTTAATGTCATCCTGTAATTAATTATTCATTCCCTATTCCACCTTTTCGCACAATATAACGAGAGATTTAGGTGTTAACTGTATAAGTTAGGTATCATTCTATCTTGCCCCGTACATGCTCAATGGGCCTTAGGCGTGGTGTTTGTGCTGGCCAGGGTTGTTGAACACTGTAGTTTTTAGTGGGTCCTATCAGGTGGGGACAATATCCTGTTGAAAGAGCATATGTCGTTCCTGTTACATTAATTGCAGCCTAAAGGGTTGAGAAATAATTTGTTGAACAGAAAGTCGTTCAGCATTCACTCTGCAGTGATCCCATAGGTGAACATCTCGGTATACACTTGAGACGTATACGAGGTTGTTGCGGCATAAAAGTCAATCGATCTAGAATCACGCGTACACACACCCCGGCCACTTTTAATTTTTATTTACTTTTTATTTTCTTATTTATGTTTTCATTTTATTTTTATTTCTCAAATTATTTTTCTTATTTGTTTATTTATCCGTTTTTATTCATTGATTTATTTTATTCTACATAAAATCTTATTTCTATAATGATGCAGGAAAAATATAAGTCAAGCCTTCAGCCATTTAACATGAATCAAGTTGTGATCACTAATTAGATTTTATTGTTGAAATGAAACTATGGTCCGATGAAGACGTTTCACCGGCAAAACAAAATTGAAACATCTCAAATCGTCTCATTTTTTTACCATTTTTTTATTCGCATTTCGCATTTATATATATATATATATATATATATATATATATATATATATATATATATATGTAATAGTTTGAGATAGAGAATCTCGTCCGGGAATGACTCCGTCCACGCGACAGGAGCTATATATATATATATATATATATATATATATATATATATATATATATATATATATATATATATATATGTGTGTGTGTGTGTGTGTGTGTGTGTGTGTGTGTGTGTGTGTGTGTGTTTTATGGTGTCCTTAAGGTCTGGATACATAGTAAATCGCATTAACTATATTTTTGTTTTAACTCCACAGAATATTAATGGTTTTTTCAAAAGAAGAAAAAATCGACTTCCTTTTCTCGCATAAGCTAAATGAGGTACACTTGATTGAACTCATAAACAGTGAATGTGCTAAAATTGAGAGCAATGTGGAGTTATTACATCGAGTTCACGTAAATCGTCAAAAGCACATCAACCTTTGCATCACAAATTATAGAAATCATATTGATTATGTTATTTAATGTTCTAATTCAATAAAATATGTAAAATTTAATTTCTTGAAAATATGCATTTTTGCCTATGTGTTGAAATTTAGAAACATCGTATATATATATATATATATATATATATATATATATATATATATATATGTGTGTGTGTGTGTGTGTGTGTGTGTGTGTGTGTGTATAATTAATAAGCAATAAAATCCAAAATCACTTTATATGGGAAATTTATTTGAAACGGCTGTCTGAAATAACCAGACATCTCTTTCAATGAAATCTCGGGGATTGATGGAGAAAGGTTTTGGCCCACAGATAATTTGGGAGATTATAGTTTCCGCACGTACTCCTAACAGTCATGGAGATAATTGTGAATTGTGTTTAGAAGAAAAAATTAGAATGATAAAATACAATAATCAAAGCCAACTATTGAATCAAAGAAATGAATTAGTATAAAATGTCGGCACAAAAACAAATTCAAATTTCCATAATATATTATAATATTATTTAGCTACTTTAATTCAATAATATTCAGTCCCCTCTAATTCTTCAAATGTGGCAAGTATAACTAATTCTAATTTATATTTCCCCCTCTATATCTCTTTACACTATATTTATAATCTATAAACTTTCCCCCTTGTTACCATTAATCCTTTATATTCTTTTATCTATATATTTAAAAGTTATTTTTAATTCCTTTTTATTACACTTTTAACTTTAAATTAAAATTTCATTCTTCATATAACGCCAAATTAATGTCATAAGGTAAATATTCGGGTTTCCTTTTATAAAACTTCTTTCCTTTAAGACAAATATCTTCCACCTTCTTCTGAAACATGACTTGTACCTTTCGTCTGACTGAAACATTGAAATGGATAAATTATGTATTAGATTTTCGACTGATTTTTTTTAGCTTTCACAGTTAAATTTCTATTTCTGACACGAACTCAGTCCACGCCAGGGTTGATGAGACAGATGACGACCTATATCTTCGTCTGCCGAAATAGGCTATTTCCCATATGAGGTGATTTTGAGTACATTGTTCTTGATAATGGCGGCTGAGATGTTCGAAATTATGTAGTAAATGTAACAAATCCGTTGGTATATAATTTAAGTGGACCCTAGTAGTAACATTGAAACTGATCCACAAAAAGAGTTCTATGTATTTATTATTATAGAGGAAATAATTAATAAACCTCAGGGCAAAACTAAGTATTCTCCTTCTCTCTCTTTACTTAAAATATTTACTGAAAGCACAACTGGCAAAATATCCTCTCTCTCTCCACCCCCTTCCCAAATAAGACACAACTGTAAAAAGATATTCTCTCTTTCTCGCTCTATCTGCTCTCCCCCCTTTGCCTCCCTCTGTGAAACTGAACACCCTCCTTCCTTCTCTCTCTTTCCTTCTCTCTATCTTCCCTTTTTCTTTCCCTCTCTCTACCTTCCCACTCTCTGTATTCCAGATATTCACTCAAAACTGAAAATCTTCCTGCTCTCTTTCTATCTTCCCATCTTTCTCTCTGTGTTCTCAAACATTCACTCAGAACTGAACACCCTCTTTCCCTCTCTCTCTTCTATCTATCTCTCCTCTTTCTTTCTCTCTCTCTCTCTCTCTCCCTTCCCACTCTTTGTATTCCAAACTACCTCCCCATCTTTCTGTGTTCTCAAACATTCACTCAGAACTGAACACCCTCCTTCCCTCTCTCTTTTCTCTCTATCTCCCCTCTTTCTTTCTCTCTCTCTCTCCCATCCCACTCTCTCTGTGTTCTCAAACATTCACTCAAACCTGAATACCCTCTTTCCTTCTCTCTCTCTTTCCTCCTCTCTTTTGTTCTAAATGTTTACTCATGAAAAACTGCCTCCCCCCCTTCTCAAATTACTTTTTGCCTTTGCAGGATCGCCTTTTCTTTGTGAGGGAGGACGTGAACGGAGGTGATCTTTTGTTTCAAATCCAGCGTGCCCGCAAATTCGATGAACCCCGAACTCGGTTCTACGCTGCAGAAGTCACGTTGGCTCTTATGTTTCTCCACAGACATGGCATCATTTACAGGTAAGTTCTGTGACATCAGTAAAAAAGGTGGGGAAAAAAAGACAAGTAACAAGTAATGTCATCTCCTGTAATTAAGGAAACATGGGATACCGGGGTGACAATATACTCTCCGGGTGTTAGGCAAGATTTGTTTGCTACCTTCTCGTCTTTTGGTGTTTATATTAGAACGTTGGAATTGGAATTTTTACAAAGTTACATCATGTATAACGATTCAATGAAGTTAGACCTCACCAGGAAAACATCGATCAGATATTTATACATTTTATTATATTCCATCCAGATCAAATGTCTTATACACTCTACGGAATACAGTCTTCTGTAGAGGAGGATGTTTTACGTAATGCGAGTTCTTTTTTATAATAATTGATGATAAAATTTTTTAGTCTTTGAGGCGATTAGTGTTTTATATGAAAACTTATTCGAAAATCGGAAGAATACAATAAAATATTACATAAACGTACCTTATCAGCAGCATTTAACTTGTTTGGACGGATTCTGCTGCTTAAATCTCCCTCTCTCACTTTCTTGCACATACACACACACAGACACACATTAAAATAACGGTAAGATCAGCAATAGCTGCGTTAATAACATAGATAAATCTATGTCCCAACATAACATTATACTAAACAAATATATTTCCAACAAATTTTTAAATATAAATGCAATGCTGAAAAAATATCATCTGTCCCTTAAACGACCAATGTATTAGTGACAATATTGTATACGGAGCTACAATATATTCCAGTAACAATGTTAAATTTCCGATTGCGTTGTTCATATATATATATATATATATATATATATATATATATATATATACCCTTGTCGGTTATTATTTAATTTTTTCGTATTTCTCCAATGAAAATGACCCAGTGCACATGTTAGTGCTTCGTATGACCGCCTTTATTTTTCAGAAGCTCTTTGATGCTATTTGGCATGGAATCCACTAATTTGGAGCAGTACTCATTGATTTTAGGATCACGGTACCATACGTTTATAATGGCTGCTACGAGTTTCTCTATCGTCGTAGTCTATTCCACGAAGTCGATTTTTATTGGTTGACCACAGATTCTCGATTGGATTTAAATCAGGAGAGTTTCCGGGACAGTCTAGTGCTTTGATTTTCCCACTGCTAAAAATTCCCTTCACAAGTTTTGAGGTATAGCACGGGCCCAGAAAAATAACGGATCCATCAGGAAACCTCTTATTCAGATCTGGAAAGACTCTTCTTTGGAGAACTCCGATGTAATTTGGTCCTCGCATAAAGTATTCAACAACATGCAAACCTCCAACTCCGTAGTAACTAAAGCAGCTCCAAAACATTTTTTTCAAGGGACGTTTTATGAATTGATTAATGTTTCTTCTAGTTGATCGGCGAACATGCTCGATCCTTTGTCCTTGAATAATAAATGAGTCTCGTCATTGAAAATAACTTTTCCCCATTGTTCTCTCGTCCATTTTTCATATTTCGGTCCCCATTTGTAGCGTTTTTCCTTCATGGGTTTTCTTCAGTAGTTGCTTTATCACCGGTCGCCTCGCCTTGCGTCCAAAAGCCAGAAGCCTTCGCCTGAACGTTGAGGAGATGAAATTTAACCCTTTCATTAGTAAATATCTTTCTATGGCGTCAGTTGTCTTCCTAGGATCTTTCACCCTCTCCGTGGTGACGTATACGTTGTCTCTTAGCGTTGTTTTTGTCTTCCGACAGCATTTTTCTTTACGCTTTGGATCGATGGATCCAATTTGTTTCTTCGCCTTGATGACACAACTGACTGTTGAAAGGCTGACACTAAAAATATCCACGATCTCTCTGTAATGGCTGTAGGACAACTAATCGACAGTCGAGACAATATTGTCTGGGTGTGATAAAAATGTGATGAAATCTCGGATGACGCGGTATTTTTTAAAGCCAAACAAATTTCATAATACACCTCGAAAACAGATTCAAATTGCTGCAGACCACTGCAAATGACCTAATCTGAGCAAAAATAGAAATCGAATTTACCCTGTTACTCCACTGCGTCTAAAACTGAGCGTGTGTTGAAAGTAAAGAAACTAAAGCGGTTGTTTCAATATATATATCTATATATATATATATATGTGTGTGTGTGTGTGTGTGTGTGTGTGTGTGTGTGTGTGTGTGTGTATATATATATATATATATATATATATATATATATATATATATGAAGAAAAAATTTGAAAAAAAAACAAACAAAAAATCCTTAAATGCAATTATGTTGTTTAAAATGAATGAAATGTCGACGTCTGACGTTTCGGTTTAATAAACCTTCTTCAGGACAATATTCATTAAAATACAATTCAGTTCAATTTGACAAAGACGATGGACATAAAAAACAAGTCTTATCCAAAACAGATAACTGAAAATTTTTAAAATGATCAGCTTTCCGTTTAGCATGGTCACGTTGTCGTCACAATTGCATTTAAGGATTTTTGTTTGTTTTTCCAAAATTTTTCTTCATTCTGTCGGATCTATATCCATTTACATTTGCTTATATATATATATATATATATATATATATATATATATATATATATATATATATATAAACGTAGGCATGAGTATGCTGAAAATGTTATGACTCGATCCAGTTCCTAAAATTTAATAAATAGCCAAACATTTTTGTGGGAGAGGTATTTTTCACCAACACCTCGTAAATTCAAATGTCAAGTTTTCTTTGACTAGAAGCAAATTTAGATTATCTAATATACTTAAAATATATTCATGTTAATTTGCAATAATACAGCTGTTAGCCTTTGTATCTGAAAGGACACCTTATGCTTACTCGATGCTTGAGAAATCTGCCTTTGTTCCAAAGTGGGCCGATTCAATCAAATGCATATTCCTAATTAAAATTGATAACAGAAAAAAAAAATCGTTGTGTTTTATTTTTATTTTACTGAGGCCGTTCATGGGGCTGAGAAGGTAATTAACACAAATTTATTTTTTGGATGAAAACGTAATTAGCTTAAAATTAAATTTTGTTATGTTATTTAGTTACGTCAACGTGATCATTCGTTACTGTCTGTCCTTGCATATACCCCATAGAAAGCCAGATCTAAGAATTTGAACATTTTAAAGATGCAAAAGAAACAAGAACCTGACATGCAAAACAAGTGAAATCTGATTTCTTTGAAAATAGGGGAAACCATACCCCGGGGAAAGGAAATTGTTGATGGGTTCATTAAAGTGAAAATCTGATGTATATATTTTGGTGAAAATTCTATTTTATTGGAAAGCTTCACACGACAGAAAGAAAATGAAATGTATTATGCATAAGTTGGCAATTCGTTTTTTTGTTTGTTTTTTTTTCTCATCTAATGCCTTGTGAGATTTCTCCTTCAGAAATAATCAATTCTAGTTAATAAAACATACATATATTCACAAAGAATGTACAGTTCGCGTCAGCTATTTGAGAATAGACATTTTAAGAGCCAAAAATTGAAGACAAATTTATGTGAGTATTGCACATGTGGCGAGCATTTCAACGTTCGCATGTGTATTTCAGTAGTATCTAGAGCAGTGTTTCTCAACATTTTTTTCTTTTCAGAACCCATTTGTAGAATAAATAAATCTCCCGGGCGCACTTTAACTTAAAGAAAACAAAAAAACCCAAAAAACTACGGCGCCTTCCTTGATGAATTTCATCTCAACATCAAAAAAATTGATTAGACAACTGGAAAGGATGCGTATAAAAATAAGTAAACACAATATGTCTATATTATTCAACGAAACATCATTGAATGAAGATATGCTGTCTATACACACACACACACACACACACACACATATATATATATATATATATATATATATATATATATGTATGTATGTATGTAATAATTAATTAAATAATTAAAGAATATCAAACATTTAAAATCCTATAGGTAATAATTCTTATTTCATGAAAGCTCCAGAAAAAAACAGCTCTCAATTTTCAAGTTCTACAAGTAAAATCAGTTGATATGCCTTTTAGACGTCGAAACAAATATTCATTTTTGTCGTGGTAACTTGCTTGCTCTATTCTTGTCAACGATTTTTTTTAAAATTAATGTTATGAACGCTTCAATTTATATTCTGTTCGTTTTTTACATTTGTATATATATATATAATCTTTTCAATTGGAATTAAGATACCTTTAGTGAATGAGGATTTTCATCTCTCTCTCTCTCTCTCTCTCTCTCTATAATATATATATATATATATATATATATATATATATATATATATATATATATACATACATACACACACACACACACACACACACACATATATATATATATATATATATATATGTATGTATATATATATATGGATAACTGCAATGGTAATATTATTTCATTATAAGAAAATATCCGGCGTTCATTGACCGAGCATCCAATTGGTAGATATTTATAAATTATTTTACTTAAAAGAATATTTCATGAAAATGATTCCCTAATGGCCAGTAAATGGTATTGATCTTCTCAGTATTAATGGGGGTCTTCCATTCTAACTTTTTGTTTGAAAAAGTTTGGAACGTCAACATCTTCATTATGCGTTATTATCTCTTCGAAGTACATATACTATACATTTTTTACTTTTTTCTTATTTTAAAATTACTCGACTTTTCTTTATATCCACTAGCAAAAGCATCGTACATTTATCTGCTGCAGTTCTTTGTCGCTTCTGATATATTGGTATAGTTCTTTCTGAATATGTAACCCCACAAAACTGGAAGAAAATGGTATTCTCTGTCCTTCCATTCCAATTCCAGATCACAGTTTCAGTTTTTGAAATGTTTGATTATTTGTTCAAGATAATTCTTATCCCAGCTGTGTATATCTATGCTATCTAGATATCCCCCCTCCGCCACCTCATAATCAGCACATTGGCCTCGAGAAGGGAAGCAAGAAGGATATTTCCTGTTAATAGATATGTTTTGGATGTGCTATGGAATGCTTAAATGGTCAGTTTCCAAATCTTTACCACACTATTTCCGTTCATATATTTATATGCTTCGAGAATAGTCTAGAAAAATATTAAATAGTTTGGAGCTCTAATATTGCCTCAGTTCTACTCCCGATGCGGATCTAAATGTTTCCAAATCGGAGTTTTCACCAGGCATGTACGACTATGTGAACCGACACGCGTAGACATTCACTTGAAACAGAGTTTGGAAGGTAGTTTCTAAAGAAGTCTAGTGAGGCCGTCATAAGCTGCATTGTTGTGAATATAAAAGCCTTGCTAACGAAAAAACGGACCCAAGTGGCCACTTCGATGTAGTTTAAAGGTTTCTATTTGGTGAGCTAATCTATTATTAATACCTTAATGATTTCTCTCCTCATTGGGGAGTCCTAATTCCGTGGCTTAACAATCATAGTTGAGCCTTTAAATCAATGGTGTTTTAAGGGTCTAACAGAACATTTAAATTGTAGATTGAGTCGGTAGTCTGGAATGTAATTAAGCATCTTACTATTCTCATGAAAATATCCTTTTGGATGGACCTAATCGTCAACAGTGTCCATGAAAACCTTCCACGCAGAGGACTGGCTAAACATTGGTGAATTTAAAAGAAAATTAAGAATTTGCTGAAAAAAACCCTTTACATGTTTAAATTTAGGTTGGATTTAATGATTGCTCTTGACTGGCAATTAATTAAAAACATTTTGTGTGTGTTGATACTGTATTATTATGAGACACACTTAGAAATATAGAAGTTAATTCTAAGTATGATAAAGTTAATGTTAATTTTAGCTGTTTCCTTATAAGGAAATTTTCGGCATTCATTAATTAAGTAGTACTGGTCGAGTGGTTATAACGTTCGCATTCTGACCCTGAGACCACGGAGTCACCATGTCGTTTGACAGGAAGAAAACTGCCTGATGCTATCGGACAGGAGGATTCGATCCCAGCGTGCGTCACCCTTGGGCAGTGCCTGAAAAACATACCTCGGATTGACCCAAGTCTTGTGAGTAAAATCGGGTAGTCGGAACCCTTGTGGGTCGTCGATAGTTGTGCCAGCACAAAGTCAAAGGTCATCGTGGCCGAGGGGTTGAGCGTGCTGGCCTTGTTTAAATTATTGATCACGCTAGATAACCCGTTCTTTCCCACAAACTGTGACTTAGGTTTGCTCAGTATAGTTGCATTATAAACCGCAGGTGGCCTATGTGGGTGTCTGCAATAGGAATTGGCTAGTCGCCCTAGTAGACGGGTATCCTCCCATACGAGTGGCCAGCTATATATACACATATCTATACGTATATATATATATATATATACACACACACACACACACACACACACACACACACACACACACATATATATATATATATATATATATATATATAAAGAATAATAGAATAAATAATCAGAAGTATTAATGCGATTATTGGCGACATCCATCGCTAGAAAAACATAATATATGCATTAAAATCCTGTTCATCCATAGTGCGAGTTTTGATCCTTGACGAAAAACTTGTTGTCTGTAGTTTTTCAGTTTATTTGATGTTAAAATGCTAGTACTTACGGATAGACTTCTATCCATCATCAGGCATGTGTTTTTTTTTTCCTTATAAAATCAAAAAACTACAGACAACAAGTTTTTCGTCAAGGATCAAAACTCGCACTATGGATGAACAGGATTTTAATGCATATATTATGTTTTCTAGCGATGGATGTCGCCAATAATCGCATTAATACTTCCTATTAATTCTATGTGTGATTATTCTTTGTATGTAAATCATATGCTGCCTAATGCTTTATGTTTGTTTATATATATATATATATATATATATATATATATATATATATACAGACATATAAGTAATTCATTTTGGGATTTAGGCATATAGCAATGAGTCTAGAAGCATCTGCACCAGAATGCAGAAAGCACTGGACGGCCGTTTCGTCCTATCTAGGACTCATCAGCAGTGCGCATCCACTACCGAGAACTACCCGGACCGTTTCGATACAACGCAAACGTCATACCAACTGTACCACGGGACTCGGTGACGAAGAAGACACAAACTAGACGCGATAGAGCGTGCTACTCACTCAGTTCCGCAGCGATACTCATCCAAGTATCCAGATAACATCGGAACAGTGCCCCAAGAGCCACGACTGCTTCTTGACCCTTAGCCGCTCTATCGCGGAGCATAAGCTGGGTCTAGCAAGGTATACAAGTAATTCATTTGGGGGATTTAGGCATATAGCAGATGGGTGTCCTCGAATACAAGTAGCCAGCTATACTCCTGACGGTTGAATTTTCATACCCATGGTGCATAAGGTGGTTGCATACAGCTGACAGTTTAGATATTTCTGAATGCTTTTGGCGCCATGCATCGATGTCAAAGCCTCGATCTGACGACTCTATTTACTGAGGCTTCAGGACTTGAGTTTTCAGGTTAATGTTTCGTTTTTTAGCAATTTGCGGGTTTGGCAAAACCACCTCTAGCGAAGCCTATTCTATGTTCAGTTTTGTTTTTACCTATACCAGTTGTCGTTATCGTCTTTATCTCGAATTCAAGAATTTACTTTCTTTACTGATTGCTTACTATATGTTGACTACATACACCGCCAATGTGTAGGTTCAAGACTACAAGCTTAACGTAAAGTCAAGACGACAAATCATAACGTAAATTTGTTTAAGGTGGACATCAACTGAGCAGGATGTGACCCACACACTTGATTTTATGTCCTTCCTCTGCTACAGATATGTAATGAAACATGGAGAATCCATTTATGAAACTGCAACGGACTGCCGCTGACTGTTAGATTTTCGAGTGACGCCTTCTGTATCATGTCCACCATGCGTAGTCCTAGTCATCTGCTGGTTTATCCGTTGAGATTTGTTGTAATACTCATCTGCTTGTTCCCCCGTTGGGGTCTTTGGGATTGGTCACGCATACTCTGGGTCCTCGTCTTTGACCTTGCACGCCGTGGGGGGGGTTACGATGACTTTAGAAGTTTCGACGGCATCGTTCTCAGAATCACTGGCCTACACAAACCCCTCCACCCCCACAACGAGCGAACATTAGTGATACGCACGTACAAACATACACGCATAGACACACATATATATTTTACACTGGAAGTCAGAGTAAACGGCGTGTGATGAAATGTTATTTTAGTATCAATAATATATGTACCTCCACTAATTCGTTATACGTAAGGTTCAAAATGAATTTTTAAAACTGTAAAATCTTTCTTGAAGCTTTCATTTTAGCTTTAATTGAAAGCTAAAGGATTTAAAATTTACTATTTGCAGTCAGTAGAATACGCTGTCTTTTTCAAACAAAGATTATATTGATCGGAATTGATTTTTTTCTATAAAATCGATGAAAACGACCATTTTGGCACATTTGTAAACAAAAGTTAATTCTTGGATTTAAAAATCATGCAAAACTAAAAAATATATTTCTGAAACCTTATTTGAGAAAAATTAACTTTAAATTTAAATTTAAAGTTAAATTAATCTGATTTGAAGCAAATATCACTTATGACATTAAATTAATCTGATTTGAAGCAAATATTACTTATGACATAAAAAGCTGTGTACAAACATTTCTTTACCACAGTGTCTTGTTTTCCTGACTTGTTAATCGATTGATTTACCTCCAAATGACTGCCTAACGTCTTCATTGTTAAGTATCGTGGAGTAGACGATAAAGTTCATAGGACGGTTTTCCCCATAAGGGTGGACATCTCTTAAAACACGTGACTTTTTAATTATAATGTTATAGATTTGAACATCCATACTTAGAAATTCTGCACGTATGTCACACATACAAATCGAATTCTTTTAAAAATATTCAGGTTCGTCAGATTGCAATAAGCTTTATTAGTAAATATAGTTTTACTTAAAAATAATATTTCGTAAGAGTTATCCCATTCCAGCTGAATTTTGAAATATTTAAAATCTTAATAAATTATTCAATTTAAAAATGTAAAAATTGAAAATAAATCTTGCAAAAATTCATTTTTCCTTGATTTTTTAGACAACATTGCCTTTAATATAAATTATACATAAAAACAATTAAAAGCTTCTCTACTTGAATCATATCTCAGCTTTATTTCATGTTTTCATTTTTCGAATCAGAACAGATTTTCGCTAAGAAGGGGTCCGATTTTGCAAAAGAAATTCCGTGATTTAAATTCCTCAGAATTTCTGCCTTTAAGTAATATAGTCACTAAAAATTTTCACGTTGAATTTCTCAAGATTCATAATATTATATAAGGAGGAGAAACACATGAAAAAAATATGTTTATAAGCATTTCTAGTAAAAAAATGCAGAAATAATTTCATTCATTTTTGAATAAATCCTGAAAATTTAATTAAAATCCGACAATTATTTGATTTTTGCAAGAATTTCCAAATGAATGTGTCTGTCATCGCAAAAAAAGAGGAGTAAATATGCTATGCTAAAAGTTAGTACAACCGATGACACAAGAAAACCAAGTTTTTAATCAACATTTCGAATGTTCTATCCGATGGAGTCGACCCATTCGACGCCATCCGGCAGGCTATTCATGCCACCCGAATAATATAATTAATCTTCGTTATTTGCAGAAATAAATGCAATTTAAAAAAAGAAATTGTACATTTTTGCATCTCTGTATTTGTGAAAAGAATGGAAAATTAATTTAAAAGTGGCGACGGATAACACAGAACTATCGGAATATGTTGTTCCTTTTACAACTTACGAGATAGCTGGCGAGTTTTTTTTTCTTTTTTGTTTTTTGCTTCTTGTACACAAGACCAGATATCTCGTAAGAATTTTATTTTCCCTGCTTTTCTTTGTCGGGTATTAATTCGGATAGTGAATTATAACATGCAGATAGCAGTAAAGTCTGTGAACGCCTATAGCATCTGATCAGATATATCCTGAGAAACGGTATCGTCTTGTTTTGCCTCTATGTTTTTATTCTTATAATGAAACAAACGATGTCACACAACCGTTCGTTGTTTGTTAAAAATAATCATTTTCCTAAGGAGACTATAACATCAAAAAATATCCCATATGATTAAATAAAACCCCAATTTAATTGAAAGATTACCATTTCATTTAAATGTGTTGAAAGATGATAGAATAAATATCAAAAATTTACTTAAAATGTTTTTTTTCTTGATCTATTAGCGAAATAACCAAAATAATTATAAATTCCTTCTTTTCATCTCATTGTCTGTAAGGGTGTTATAATACTAGTGAAAACGGGGAAGCTTACAAATAAAGGGTGTAGGTATCACTCCATTTATCGATCTCGCACATATTATCGAAGTTCGTTGTTATGTTTTTGAACAGAGGGGAATTTGGTACCTGCTAAAAAACGTTGGAATACCAAGACGCTGGTCGTCTAACGAAGAAAAAAGCATTTATGTGAAATGATAAATATATAGCTTAGTATACTCTCCTTTGTATCAACTACTTCTTATTTCCCCCTCCTCCATTCTTAGCCTTTCCCTCCTCCCACTCCTCATTCTTCTTCTTCTTCTTCTTCTTCTTCTTCTTCGCATTATATCCATCCTCTTCTCTCTCCTGCCTCTTTTCCTCTTCTCATCCATTGAGACAAAATCATTAAGTAGGTCACTTTATGCCTCTCTTGTCTTCAATATGCCTGATGTCTGTTAAATTGTCATGGCACTGTTTTTTCGTATGATTCTCAGAACATTTAAACTGTATTTTATTGATCATAAGCATCAGATTCCTAATCGTTGTTATTTTCCATATAACTTCCTAGTTAGTAATTCTCGGCCCATAGTATCCTCATCATTCCTCGATAAAAAAGCACTGTCCTGTTGCGTCAAGTATCTTTTGATACATGTGAGAATATTGTCCAGCATTCACTGGCGTTGTAAGAGATTTCATATTACATAAAAGCTCGGCATTATTGTTTTTCTTAACAACATTTTTATTTCTTAATTGGCTTATTTTCTCAACGATATCTTTAGAGAATTCTATATGATATCGGATGTCTTTACTACATTTTCCATTGTCTATGAAAATAAATTCTTGATAAATTTCTGCACCTGTTTGGTCCCAAAGCAGGCAATAGGTAATTGATATCTTGGGTTGTCTCTTTTAACAGCATTAAAAAATCAGTAAATATTAATATTAATCACATAAATGAACATTATAAAATGAAGATTACAGATGTAATAACTAAGTTTTCATGTCAAGGACTTATTGATCCACCCGCTGATGCCCTAGGATAGCGGATGTATAGGGAAGTTCAATCTGCTAGATTCGCCTCGTTTTCACTGCATTGCCTCGTTATTCATGTTTTTCTGTTAATATAAACGCGGCGTAGTAAATATTTATATTTGTTCTTTCTATCTACATTATGTATTTTAAAAAAAATATTTACTGGTCCTTGCCCGCAGGAAAAGGATGAGAAACTTGCTACATAATTTCTATTCAATTACATCATTAGGAAATCGGAGATTTTTCACATCAGTTTATTGAACGTTTCGTTGGATATTCTGTGAAATAAGTGTCATTTTTGTTCGCCATCGTCATTTGTTTTTATTGTCCTCTTTTTGCGTCTCAATTCCGAGTTTTGTTTACATTGTTTGAATTGTGTGTTGTTACGAGGATACGCCAACGCCATGGCAGATCCCGAATCTTCCAATACCTCACCCACTGAAGTGATTCTTTCGACGTGGGAAAAGGATAGACCCCAACAAAAAGCACCAGAGTATTATAGAAAGAAAAAAATCCTCAATGACAAATGTGAATCATTTGTTAAAGGAAACGAGTTGCTACCGGTGCCGTCTCTGCCGGATACGATGAACTCTCGTACTATTTCTTTGTTAACAACGGGACGAAAGACTCAAAAACTAATTATAGTGAATAGAGACGTTATGGAGGAAGGTCCTGAAAAGCCTTCAAATATCGGCGAAAATTTTGGCAAGAAAAAGCAAGGCAATGTGGGACATTTTGTTAGTTAGCTACGGAAGATGGAGCTAAAGCGCTGACTAGTTGTATTGTGACTACTAATTCACTCAGGCTACAAACCGAATACTTGGGAACAAGAAAAAGCGGAGATGAACCGACATAGAGTATTTGTCGAAAGTTTGCCCGGGACAAATTCAGAAACACCACCCAAAAAGAAAAGTGAGGAGGGATAGTCACCAACACGGACAGCAGCACAAACAATAACAAAAGCTGTAAAGAAAAGAGGAGGGTAGACGGAAGTAGTAAAGAAGGGATCCAAAGTGACCACCACTTCCCTTCAGCAGCAGCAAAATAAGAAGCCCCAACTTGAGCAGGGGGAAAAGCAGAAGCAGTGACAGCGTCAGGGAGCACCAAAAATACAGTAGAGGTAGAAATAGAGGAGGTGCCACCACCTCGGTTTTCATCTATAAAAATAGGGAGAGAGGGAGTGGAAGAAGAAAAAGAGGAAAACTTCACTAAAAATGATAAGCGAGCTGGTAAGAGTAGGGTCGAAGAAGCAAAAAAAAAAAAACAGTCATTACCAATGCCAATCCGTCCCGGCTTCGCCAGTCAAGAAAGAAGAGGAAATTACTTCAAGGAGCCTCACTTCTTCCCCTCTGAAAGCCCCACAGCCCACCATTCACAATACCCCTCCTACCACCTCTCTCAATAACATTGCAGATGGAGACATTTTCACTCCTCCCGATACCCCCTTTTCAGCCGCACAACGCCTAGCACCTCCCACTATTCTTGTCATGAGAAGAAATTCCCGAGGGTCGTAAGATGTCAAATAGAAAAGGCTGCTGGGGTAATAACTTGGATTAGGAACACAGGCAGACGAGAGTGTGGAATCATCTACACGAATCAAAGTATGCCTTTTCGGAGATCCGTATGGTTAAATGTGAACACCGGACCTGAAAAACTTCAAAAATATTGTGCAGGGAGGGTCCCAATAATCCTCCATCCTTCATTATATAAGGCCTTAAAACTGACCTATCCCTCGGACGTGGGGGTCATTGTACTGGATGGTCGCATGGCGAGAGAGATGGGGACAGGGAGCCTGGGACAATCCGTCTGGGTCCTTTCATTCACAGATTTCCGTCCAGTCTGTGAATAGAGGAATCCACTGAGAAAATGTCTCTCAATTGAAGCTAGTTTGAATGCGAGACCTTGAAGGATCGGAGTAAGGCCACCCGCCTTCTTCGTGATCTCTTGTCCTTCTGCATAAATACAGCTGAGATCCAGGAAACGCACTTTGTTTGCGAGGTTTATGGTCATGTGCTGTCTAGCGTCTAAGTTGTCTAATCATGGCTCGCACCAACTTTCTTTAATCGGTAAGAATTGCCACGATTAATGATAAAAGTATTGGTTTCCCTTTGTCTTTTCAGTTTTGTAGTCAATGTTTTCAACCGCATAGACTAGTTGTCAAGAATATCAAATCTACTTTGCTGTTTAACCCATAGCTGGAAGCGTAATAGATGAATCCATGCCTTTCCCATCACCGATAAGGTTTACGCCACCTGCACATTCTCTTCTAATCGTTAAATTATTAAATTAGGTGCAGCACTAAATTTCCAACCCATGACCAAATTAATTAAATATAAGCCACAAACATATTACCCATCCGTTGAAAACCGCTGTAATAATTTTTATAATAGCCGTCACGAAAATACAATAAAGAGGAAAATAAAATAATCATACCTAATCATCAGCTATTGCAAAAACACAATAAAGCATAAATAACTGACCTTCCTACCCACAATCCTTCAGTAACAAACATATATAAATAGATCGTGTTACTTTTTAATCTACACGGCCTGTTATAGAGCTGACAACAAGAGACACCTTTCCATAATTTTCTAATATTTATGTTAATAATACAAATTAATTCAGCAAACATACTATTTTTCACTTTTTTAAATAATTCTGTACAAGTTTTAGAGAATCTAATTAAACAGATTATTTTGATTTTGATATTTCGATAGATTTTCTCTGCTCCGTTCGACTAATTTTTAGTAATTTGAAATATCAGATGACAACAATGCTAATTATTATGAACGGTTTAGGTATTCTAACAACTGGATTTTGACAAGCAGATATAAATTATTTCTATAAAAACATGAAGAATTAAAAAATATATATATTTATTGACAGAAGCATTGATTACATATGCATTTTTTAAAATTTGCTTTAAAAATGGCACCTATGAATTTCAAAAATGATTATGCTAATCAAATATTACCGCTTGTACTGTAAACGTTGTAAGCAAAAAAAACTGAAAGTCGCTATTTGGCTTGTCATCCCAGAGTCACTCTTCCGGTGATTTCGAACAGTCAGTTGAGTTTGTGAATGAAGAAGACTTTACGAAACCTTGAAACTCGGTTGTCAGTAGAGATCTGTTTAAGCTGATAATGACTCTGTAACGATATGGATAGGGTTAATGAAGCCCAGTGACCAACGACTGACCTGAATCTTAATTAGAAAATCTTATGAAAATTCAGTGTTATAAGCTTAGCAGTAGTCAGCGTCAAGGTATTTTTTTTCTAAAATAATATCTTTAAATGAAGATAGATATATGAAACGTTAGTGATTTAATAGAAGCCGCGTAAAAATAATGTCTTACATCTAATCCGTGTTCCGTGTTTTACTTCTGTGGTCCCAACTTTGGCCCCACATCAGTGGCGACGAGGATTCGAGAAACGCACTCACGGCGAAACCTAAATACCTTACCAATCCCACATCTGGGTCGACGAAGAATTCGAGAAACGCATTCACGTCGAAAAACCGCAATACTTTGCCAGTCCCACAACAGTGGCGACAGAAAGATTCGAGAATTTCGTTCTCACCATATCAATAGCGACAGTACTCGAAAAAATACACAAACTCCACGCGTTCCCACAGCAGTGTTGAACGTGAAATTAGCGATTTGGTATTAATACATTAGCGATTTAAAAGCTAAACACCCAGCGTCTATATATATTCCAATACCAAACATCATTGACGAACTAGCGATTCGACATCTACGGAATATTAAAGTCTGTCCAAAAAAATACGAGAACGATTTTACACACACACACACACACAAAAAAAAACAGTTGTTCGTAAAACAAACTGACAATACAAGAGCGAAGTACTACCATTGTACTCAAGTTTTCGAAAAAAAACTATCGAAAATTTTTTTTTTATGTAACTGAGTTGAACTCGGGCATAAAATTATTCTCCCTCAAATTCACTGAGGTGAGTTTTTTCTTTTTATAACCTTTAAAAAAAAAAAAAAATACATAAGTGTGGTGAAAATTTATTCAATTACGTTAAAATTAACGGAACCACGGAATCTCAAAAAAAAAAAAAAAGCTAAACACATAATTAGTTTAGTTTAACTAATTGTCTGTCCATATTTTTTTCTGTAAAAAAAAAAAAGGAACAAAAATCTATCCAAGATTTTTTTGTGTACCTCCTCTTAGTACACGTGTTTCAAAGCAAAAAAAAAGCGCTGTCATTTTTAAATATGGAAGATTTTCAAAAAGTAGTTGCCCAAATGTTAAAACTAAATTTGGATCAGCAACAAAAATCAGAAGAAAGACAACAACAACTATTTTTGGAATTACATAAACAACAAATGGAATTTCAA